AAGTGGGAAGAGGAAAGAGGAATAATGGGCCAGTGGTGAGACAAAGGAAGAAGGGTTTATAACCACTACAGCACACTTTCCTACAGAAGAGGGAACAGAATCCAGGATTCCTGTGTCTCATTATTCCTCTGCTGTCTAGCAAACAGCTGTGAAACGTGCTGACAAAATGTGTCTAATCTGCTTCTAGTAGCTGGTTCACATAGTACAGCCTACTATTGCTACTGTTAGCTCAAGTGGTAGAGGTATGTGCTATGGATTTAAAGGTTGCAACCGCATGATGACCCCTGTGGGAGGTCAATATGGGTTCAGATGATAGAATTTCTGGGGTTTTTTTTCAAAAAGGTCTAGGAAATTACCTACAAAATTGTAAAATGTCCACGACACTATCAGGGCCGATGAGGGGGGGGGAACCGGTACAAATTACTGGGGCCCGGCGGTCCGGAAGGGGGCCCCGGGCCTGGCTTTCCCCCTCCCCCTCGTCGGCCCTGTTTAGCCGGTCCGCCCTTGCTGGGGGGCCCGAAAAAATTTTTTTACTGGGGCCCTGTAGCGAGGCGGTGGGATACCCCACAGCCCCGCTGAGGGACGAACCTCCCCTAACACCAATGTGGGCGGGACCACTGGATCCTGCGCCCGCCCCTCAGAGGTCACAGCGCAGGCCCTGAAGTATAAAAGCCCGCCTGCAGAGCTCAGTTGAGAACCAACCGCCGGAGAGATCAGATGTCGGTGACCAAGCTTGGGAGATGGCAGCAGGCCGCGGCCGGCCTGAGGTTGCACTGGGCCAGCCGAGCCTACCCCTCGCTCGTTACCCTGAGGACTGGCCGAGCCTGCCCCTTTCTAGCTACCCCAAGGAGGAGCCAAGCCTGCCCTTCGCTACCTACCCAGAGGAACCGATGCTGTTAGAGACCGCCGAGGACATTAGCACGACCCAGGTACCCTACGAGGGAGAGTGTGGAAGTAGCCCGGGGGCAGCCGACCCCAGTCTGGCTGCAGCACTACCAGAGCCTATGTCGGTGTGTTGCGGCCAGGATCCCCACTGACAGCAGCGAGTTTCTGCCGCTGCTAGGGCCCCGGGCTGGGACGCAGTGGAGTGGGAGGGCCTGCATCCCCCCTGCCACCCACCCCTTGGGTGGCAGACTTCCCCTTTCCCTGGCCTGGAGCGGCTAGGATCTCTTGCTTATTGATTCAGCCCCTGCTTAAGGGCCTGAGTTCCTGACTGTGTGGTTGCTGCCCCGCCCTGACCTAGGGCCTGGGCTGCTACAGAACTATTAACTCAGCCCCTGCTTAAGGGCCTGAGTCCCTAACAGTGTGTTTACTGTCCCAACTACCGCAGGGCCAGGACTGACAGCGAACTAGAGCGAGGCGGTGGGATACCCCACAGCCCCGCTGAGGGACGAACCTTGGCCAAGCCCCATTACAGACCCAAACCGGCTCTCGGCAGCCCTGGACACGATCCATCCTGTTTCATATCCAGGACATGATCCATTGTGAGCACTGAATTAAACAGGAGTTCTTTGGAAAAAAATAGTATGTGAACATGTCCTTAAAGACTGTATCATAAAGTGTGTGCACAAAGAGGGTGAATGAAGGTTGCACAGACAACCTTAATTCTAGGATTTCCTAACTTTTTAGTGCTTGACGTTGCAACCTTACTATTCTTTTAACATAGTTGCATGCATGTTATATGTGTGTGTGCATAGGTGCTGACTCTGTGGGTGCTCCAGGGCTGGAGCACCCACGAAAAAAAATTAGTGGGTGCTTAGCACCCACCGGCAGCCAGCTCCCCCCATCCAGTGCCTCCTGCCGATCAACTCCTCCCCCTTCCCTCCCAGGGCTTCCTGCCCGCCGCAATCAGCTGTTCTGTGGTGTGCAGGAGGTGCTGGGGGGAGGGGGTAGAACTGGATGGGAAGGGGTGGGGCCTTGGGAGAAAGTGGGGAGTAGGGGCGGGACCTAGGGCTGAACAGAGGTTGAGCACCCCCAGGGAAAGGAGGAAGACAGCGCCTGTGTGTGCGTCTATAGCACACTGACACTTATTTCCCAACATTCATTTGAGAGAAGGCAAACAGCTATATAAAGTACAGAGAAAACTTAGATCCAATAGGAAATAAGTCAATGAAAACAAATATAAAAAGCCATTGAAATTTATGAATGATTCTTAACTTAGCATTTGGAGGCAGACTTCTTTTGAATGAGGGTAGGAGACAGAAGCAGAATATACTGTCAAATTTAAATGAAACTCAGAGTGGCCCATTTAGTGATATAGGCAACCTCAGCAACTGCTTGGGACCCCATCCTTTGAGAACTAGCATGCAGACCCTTGCAGCTTATGGCCAACCCAGTCGTTTTCACACCTTCCAATCAGTGGGAGCAAAAGGGGAATCACTGCCTG